AAAACAGAATAATTTCTAACGTCTCGTTTAGGAATATGAAAATTTAACTTGCTTAATAAATAGGGACAATCTATATAATAATTAATCAATTTAAATAGGAACAATTGCTCATTTTCTAGTCTTCTGCATTCAAGCGTAGAAAGTTCTAAATGAGATCTTAACTAAGGGTAAACTATATTATCAACAGGTATAGACTCCTTAAAGGCACAGTATCTTAAAAAAATATTTTGAACATTTTCTAATTTGGTTATGTGTAACTGATAGTTGGGCGACCATATAATATTAGCATATTCTAGAATACTTCTAACAAAAGATATATAAACAGCCCTAATACAATTAATATCACAAAAGTCTTTGGTTGATCTTTTAATATAACCCAGCATTTTTAAAGCCCTATTCTTTACGACATCTATATGATAATTAAACGAGACTTTAACATCAAAATACACACCTAGATCCTTTATACAATTTACTGACTCAAGTTCAACATTATTTATTATATATGGAAATAAAATGTTCTGTTTTAAACGGGAAAACCTTATAACTTTACACTTAGTTATATTTAAGTGCATACAATTTACTACACTACACTAGTATTTTATATTATTGCATATATCATTAATATAACAATTGAACAATAGAGGGGATAGATGTCCACCCTGTGGTACACCAGAGGTTATAGAAATTTGTTTTGATATGTGCTGATTATTCAAAATGAGAGTTTGTGTTCTATTATGGAGATAGCTTTCAAGCCATAAACATAAATTTTTGCCAAGGCCCAAGGCCTTCATCTTAGCAAGTAAAACTTTGTGTGGTACTTTGTCAAACGCCTTAGAGAAATCTGTGTAAATTGCATCAATCTGTCCATGTTTCTCCAAGGCTCCTAACAAATCCTCACTATAAACTGCCAGATTTGTTACAGTAGATTTTCCTTTACAAAAACCATGCTGTTCTTCCATAATTAAGTGTTTAAAGACAGGTGTAAATTTTAACGTTACAATTTTATCAAATAGTTTTGGTATCACTGAAATTTTAGCTATTGGTCTATAATTTTCAACATTTGACCTATCACCATTTTTAAAAAACGGTACAATTAAATTATTTTTCCACAAATCGGGATATATACATGTTTTAAGCGATAAGTTAAATATAAAAGACAGTGGTGCAGTTAGGGTACATCTGCATTGATTTAAAATAGTTGATGGTATTCCATCAGCACCTACACTAGTAGATGTTTTTAATTTTAACAATTCATTAAAAACGTCACATTCTGTAATTACACAGTTATTAAAATCAACAGTGGAATTATAATTAAAAACAGGTATATTAATGTTATCACAGTTGTTGTATACTGATCCAAAAAAGTTGGCAAAATAATTTGCTATACATTTAGGGTCATTGGAAATGTCACCATTATAACACATTTCATTTGGAAGAGAATTATCAGTCTTTTTTGTATTTAAGTACTTCCAAAAATACTTAGGGTTTGTACATATATTGCTTTGTACATTGTTTATATAATTTATATAGCATTTATTAGACATAGTTTTACATAAATTTCTTAAATTACTAAATGTATTATAATTCTTAATTGATGGGTACGTTTTATAGTTTTTATGTGCAATTTTTTTACGAATTATAGTGTCTTTTAATTTCTTTGAGAACCAAATTGGAAAGTTGTGATTTTTAACAACTTTTTCTGGAACAAATATATCAATTAATATGGATAAAACCTCATAAAAAGAAGAAACACATATATTGATATCCTGACTCCAAAATATTACATTCCAATTTACAATGGATAAGTGTTCATTGAGTGCTACATAGTTAGCATTATAAAAATCATAATATACATGGTGGAATTCAAGAGTTTTAGAATTTTTGTTAATTGGATGATTTATACAGATAGCTGGATGGTACATATCACAAGGTAAAATTATTTCATTTGAGATTTCAGTACAAGTGTTCAAGCTGTTACTAAAAACCAAATCAAGAAATTTGTTTAATGCATTAGGTATAGTGTTAACTTGAAACAAATTGTGCAAGGCAAAGGTATCACCTATTAATTCTGCACATTCATGAACTGTTCCTGCTGCTCGCACACCTAAGTCTTCATTTATCCACTGTACATTTGGCAAGTTATAATCGCCACATATGATTGTTATTGGATCATTTTTTTTGTTGGTCTAAAAGATTATTTATAGCTGTACAGTGTTGATAAAAACATCATAAGTACTACTTGGTGGTAGGCGAAAGGTTCGAGTGGTGTTTATCCCCAAGCCAGGACGTTGTAACTACGATACGGCAAAGGACTATAGACCCATCAGTCTATCCTCGTTTCTTTTAAAAACTATGGAGAAACTGTTGGACATATTTATTAGGGATGGGGCACTAAAAAGAATTCCCATGCATCCCAATCAACACGCCTACAGGACAGCCATGTCGACGGAGACCGCTCTTCACAGCCTTGTAACAAGACTAGAGAGAGGGACTCGTCCTAAAGAGATGGCTCTGGGCACGTTTCTAGATATTGAAGGAGCTTTCAACAACACCTCCTTCGAGTCGATAAATAGAGCTGCAGAAGGCTTTTGCATAGAGAATACCATTGTCAAATGGATCCGTGTCATGCTGGAAAGCAGGATCATTACAAGCTCGATTGGAACTACGGAGATCAGCTCAACCGTAGCCAGAGGCTGCCCGCAAGGAGGAGTACTATCGCCCTTGCTGTGGTGTCTGGTGCTGGATGGGCTACTTCGTATCCTAAACGCGGAAGGCATATACACTCAAGGCTACGCGGACGACCTCGTCATCGTCGTAGCCGGAAGGGTACCAAACACTATTAAAGAGATCATGCAAAGAGCTCTTAATAAGGTCGAAAGGTGGTGCAACGATCACGGACTATCCGTCAATCCGGATAAGACAGAAGTAGTACCATTCACCAACCGAAGAAACATTAACCTTGAGGGGCTCACGCTCTTTGGATCAAGACTGATCCCATCCAAATCAGTCAAGTATCTAGGAGTCATCATTGACTCCAGGCTGACCTGGAAGGAACATGTCAACAGGGTCGTCCAGAGGGCCACTCATAGCCTATGGGCATGCAGAAGGACCATTGGACGCACCTGGGGCTTAAAACCCCACATAGTGCACTGGCTTTACACAACAGTCATAAGGCCAATGATCACATACGGCAGCCTTGTTTGGTGGAATGCGTTAAGCAAGCCCACCTACAGGAAGAAGATGGACAAGCTCCAACGATTTGCCTGCATGGGCATAATTGGAGCTTTCAGAACCACTCCAACACTGGCAATGGAGGCCATACTGGGACTGGCGCCTCTACATCTCTTTGAGGAGGCACGGGCTCGGGAGGCCTCAGTCAGACTCAACGATTGGGGACAGTGGACTCACGGGGGGGAGAACTCAGGGCATGCAAGGGCCTGGACTGAGACTATCAACCGGGACCCCCTTCTCACAAGAAGGGATGCAATGCCAAAGACGTCTACCCCCCTCAGGAGATATAAAGTGGTTTTCCCCTCCAGAAACGACTGGAGCGAGCCTGACCCAGGCTTTCTCAAACCGGAAGGGCTCATCTGGTATACAGACGGGTCTTTAATGAAAGAAGGTGCAGGAGCTGGTGTATATGGAGAGCGACCTGGGGCGAGAATAAGCCTTGCACTAGGTCGATACCCAACGGTATACCAGACTGAAATCTTTGCCATCCAGATATGCGCCCAAGAGAATCTCCAGAGAGGGTACTCGGGTAAACATATCTACATATGCAGCGACAGTCAAGCAGCACTCCGGGCTCTTCACTCGGAAAGGGTCAACTCGAGACTTACACTGGACTGCATAAAAACCCTCGAACTACTCAGTGTGCTCAACAAGGTTAACCTTATCTGGGTACCGGGTCATCGAGGCATCAGAGGCAACGAGGAAGCAGACCAGCTGGCTCGTGAGGGCAGCAACACGGCCTTCTTGGGGCCGGAACCTGTCATAGGGGTCGCCTCCTGTCTGATAAAAACCAAGATCAGGAACTGGACTAACGACCAGTTCCAGAAAAAATGGCGTGAACAACAAGGCCTCAGGCAGTCAAGGGCCTTTATAAAGAGTCCTACTACCTGCAAAGAGGCAAAAAGATTCCTGAAACTTAACAGGATCCAGTTAAGAACCATCACAGGAGTCCTAACAGGACACTGGGTAGTCAAATACCACCTACACAAAACCGGACTCAGCAACGAGTCGGACTGTAGGTACTGCAGCGAAGTAGACGAAACTACCGAGCATATAGTCTGCGAATGCGACGCTCTAGTCAATAGTAGACTAAGACACCTAGGGGACAGATACTTGGAACCAGAGGAAATAATGCATGCCCGACCAGAGCGGGTCTGCGCTTTTCTTAAAAGCTGCGGGCTCGCAAGGTAAGGCAGAGCTTCACCAAAAGGGGGTTTGCACAATGGGCCGTATGTGTGCCTAAGTGCTGCCTGCAAAGGCTCCCCTTCAAATCAATCAATCACTTGGTGGTAAATAGACTGTTAAAATTAAAAAAATTGTATTACCCACTTTAACCCGAACACACACTTGTTCCACATTACTCATAGGTAACTGCACAAGGGTTGACGATAAATTCTTCTTTACGGCTATGAGCACACCTCCCCCACGTTTGTGTTTACTTGTCGATGAGCTGCGATCTGTTCTGTAGATACAATAATTTTTAAGATTTAGTTCACAATCCATAATGTCCTCGTTTAGCCATGTTTCACTTAGGGAAATAACATCATAGGTTAACATATTAACAGCTTGCATTAAATTATTTAATTTGGTTCTTAGACCTCTAACATTCTGATAATACATTTTTATTGACTTTGATTTGTAGGATTTTGAGAATGACCTAAAAAATCATTGTGTTTATTAAAGTGAAACCTTTTTATCCCAACTCCATTTGGCCAGAATGAGGGATCATAAAGCTGGTCTTTTAGATCAAAAGGCGCACAAAGTAAAAATTACTTATGTTGTGTTGACTCTGTTGGCAGCTCTTTAACTGTGATGTCTGCATCTTTAAATTCGTTTTTTGATTTTACGTGGTCAAGCACGTCATCAGCTGTGGAACACCGTTGAATTCTATATAAATAGATCCAAGCCTTTTTAGCTACACCTTGTAGTTTGCTGTTTGAATTGGTATTGGTGCCTAACTTCTTACTTGGTATTTTGCTAATTTGTTTGCTGGTACTGGCATTATTTGATTGAAGTTGATTAAATGTTTGTTTACTTCCATTAGAGAGGTTAGGATGCTTGACATTTGGTGTTATTGGATCTTGTGATTTTTCGCTTCTAACATTGGTAGGATGTGGCGGCAAGTTCAAATTTAGGTTCTTCTTCGCCGTAGCCGCATATGACTTGTCGTTTTTTGTTGACATTTTTTGCTCCGGGATCACATTATTAGGTTTATTTAGATATTCACATTTTTCAACTAGTAAACGATTGCTTTGCTTTAAAATATCATTTTTATCCTTCATTTCACTCACCAACTGGTTAAGCAATTCGATTTCCCTCATTAAACCATCGCCTTCTTTAACCTCATTGTCGCACAATTCAGATGAAACATCTCTGTTTAGATGCAATTTCGTGTATAACTGCAACTTTTCAAATGAAACTGCACTCATCCCATTTACACTATCGATGGTAACAGTTTTATTTAAGATAATAGAAATTAGTTCGGGCTTATTTAGCCTATTTAATAAGGAAGTGTAAGCCGACACGTCTACACCGGCTGCCATCTTACTTTAAAGGCTTTCCAAATTATTTCTGCACAGTCGTCTTTGCCTTCATTAAGAAAATATTCCCTTAAAATCGGCCAATTCAACAAAAGTCTATCTAAAGCTGGAAGCAAAGAAAGCCATCGTGTAGGCACATGGCGGAGTATAGACTTGTACTCTAAATGAGCGAAATCGAAGAATTCCTTGAGCTTTGCAGTTCGCTTGGCAAACGCGGAAAATTCGCTGTAATCTTTCAATACCAACGATTCCACATCAAACTGTAAAGCTTTTAATGCATATTTGTTACAATTGTGTAAAATGTGGCACTTACAATTCGCCTTCAAAATATTTGGGTTTTCAATTTTAAGTTTTTGAAAAACTGAGTTATGAATACCATAGTTGACGGAAGCATTATCTGCGGATAGTGAAGATACGGATGCCCAGGAGAAGCCGTTTTCCTGTAAAACTTTACAAAGGTGTGTTTTAATAGCTTCACTTGTTTCAGCAGGGTCTTGATAAAAGTCAAGTAAACCTTGTTTTAAACCATCTTTAAGTGAAAACCATTGCACCGTCACTGGAAACATTTTTAAATTCCCTTTGTTGGACGAGTCTGTTCCAAGAGAAAAATAAGTAGACTCCTGCAGTTCCGATGTAAGTATTTCTTGCGATAGCGGGGCTATAACATTTTCACAAATAGTTGTAGCCTTAGTTCGACCGCAGGCTATTTTTTTTTGCAACTTCAGAATCCGGAAACAACGTAGGGAATAACTTATTGTTACAATCTTGACTTGAATAGCTGTGATGATGTTTAACTCCATGATATACAGATGTAATTTCCGCGGCAGTTATTAAATCTTCTTCTCTTGAATGTTTTTTCACAAAAAAACTAGATACTGATGCCATAGAAGACTTGTTTTTGAGAAATATCTTATGTTTTTTACCTTCCGAATGCACAACTAGAGCTCTTTTACCTTCGTATTTTACTGAAATATCGGTTCTGCACAACTTACATTCAGCGGTAAAATCATCTCGTTTTTTAAGCCAAGCACTAAAGAGAGGATCGTTCAACCAACTTCCATCAAAGCTTGTATGATATTTAAGTTTTTTCTTTTTAGGCGGACTTAATCTTTCTTGCGAGCTTCCCGAATCCGACATGCTTAATTTTTAGTATATAACAGGAACAATTACTTGCGTACATACAGCGATTACAAACAAAACACGTTCGATTTTGGCCGCTACTTAAATTACGGTATTACGCAACTAAAGAACACGAACTATTAGTTCGGAACTATTAAAACATGCATGGTGACAAGATGCGCGAGCCGCGAGCTTGCCAGGCGGCCGGCAGTGGCGGTAGTGTTGTCACAATTAATATAATAATTATTGTACAAATCTAGTACAACTTACTACTTTTATTCATTAATATTGCATTTTTTACAAGGATATATATATAAAATACTGTGAGCTGTGACTGCAATTTTTGCTAAATTTCCGGGAGAATTTAACTGCGTTCCGGGAGCCGGGAGATTTTTAAAACTAATTGTCTTTTTCCGGGAGAATCCCGGAATTCCGGGAGAGTTGGCAACTCTAGTTACGGCCCTAACGATTTGAATTTTACTTATTTACACTCTACGTCGTATTTCTTTATCTACCGCATCAATATTCATGTTTTAGTTGTTTAAAGTTTAAACTAAGAATAATTAAAACAAGCTGCCCGATATGGAATTTTGTGAATTTTGTTATTAAAATGTTTGCGTTTTCTGACCAGAATAAGTGATAAAAAAGAAATATTGTTTGATTAAATTATGTGAAAAAAATTATTTATTGGACAATTTTTGCAGTAATGGGACATACAAAATTTAGTTATTGGACAGGAAAAAAATATTACCTAATTGTATATGTAGGTAGCTATCTAGAAGCTCCGCAAATGTTACTTTTCTAAAGTAAAAAGAAAAATATATTTTTTAAATATATAATTATATAACAAAATGAGCAAAAATAAACGCATGCAAAAAAATCATAACCTAACCCCCTCAGGAAATGTCCTGAAACGTAAATTGCAACCCAACCCAACCTGACCCCCTCAGGAATTGCTCTGAAATGTACAAAAAAGCAAAAAAAAATCGCAACCTAACCCCCTCAGGAAATGCCCTGAAACGCCTAAAAATGCAAAAAAATCAAAACAAAAAAAATTGTAAAAAAAAACTGATTTTGATAAAATAAATGAGGAAAACCTAACTAAAATTTCAAAAAAATTAAAAATGAAAAGTTTAAAAATGAAAAAAAAGCGCAGTTTCTGCAAATAAACCTCTCCAAAGATGTCAAGGCTCACTTGGAAAATCCATATCTTTAGAAAAAAACACTTTTTTTTGGAAAAATTGAAATATACAGGCTTCACAGCGGCACTGAACTTTAAAATAGGGACAATAGGGCCTTAACTTTTTAAAAATAGGGCCCCATATGGAAGTTAGAAATATTTAAAAAAAAAACTTTATTTAACTATGTTTAGTCATAACAATGAAATAAAAAAATAACAAAAAAACTGTATTTCTCTTTTAAAATAAACTTATTTCTATCTTTGGTATTAAATAAAAAATAATACATGTGGTTCTTACTTCTATTCGATGAGAAAAGATTTTTATGAAAAAAGCTCGGACACGTAAACTTTGGTTTTTTATTTAAAATCTTATAATTGTTATTTTTTTGCCCCCACATTTATCTTAAATAAAAAACTACTTTTTTATCGTAAATTGATAGGACACCTTTTTCTGAGTATAACGATACCCCATAAGTACTAGTAGGGTTTTAAGAGAATATAAGAAACAAAATAACTGAAGAAATTAGAAACATAACACCGGTGGTTTTAAACAGAGTGCGGGAATACAATAAGTTACTTAACTATCAGGAAGTGATTTTTGAACATTTATAAGATTGAAGAATAGTTTATTTTTCATTTATTGTTTAATTTTTATTTTCAAAATAAAAAAGTTTTTTAATCTGTCATTCTACATTCCACCCTGTATTGCAAACTATGTTAACTAGACTCTACTTATCGTTGTATTCAGAAAAATGTGTGCTATTAATTTTCGATTAAAAAAGTGGGGTTTAGGATAAATGTGCATGTGATAGGGAACAAACGGTGGGGGACAAAAAAGTTATAATTTTAAGATTTTAAATAAAAAACAAAGTTTATATGTCCGAGCGCTTTTTTGATAGAATATGTGAGAACCACACTGTATATGTAAGTTACATAATGTAACTGATTCAAATTTAAAGTTTTTGCTTTTTACATTCATTTTTAGTTATAGTATTTATCACATTTGATTTTCTTTTTTCTATTCTATTCCTTATTTTAATTACAGCCTCTCTTTGTGTCTTTTCTGTTTCTCTTAGTTTTACCAGACTCTTATTGAATTCGTTAGCAACCTCGATTTTTTGAACATCTTTAAATTTTGCTGCTTCTTTAATGTATTTGTCAACTTCCTGTTGCATCATTTCTGCTTTTTTTATTGTACTCATATGTTCTTTTTCAGCTTCTTTAAGTTTTTCCTCCATTGCATTAATGGCGTCTCGCTCTTTTAATGCATCTTCCATCCTTTCCTTTTTAAGTTTCTCCTGTTCCTGTTGTTCTTGTTCTTTTAAAAGATTTTGGCTTTTTATTTCCCTTTGCTCTTCTAAATATAAATTGTAGGAGTTATGCGCATTCTGAGCCAATTTGATTAGCTCCTTTGTAACTGTAAATTTATGAGCATTGCTATTATATAAGTATAATCCATCGATTATTGAAAGCTTTGCATTTAACATTTTTTCGGACATTCTGAACTTATCTTCAGTTAAAACGAGACCAGATCTTGAAAATCCACGCTCTACATCGGCATTTCCGTGACTTAAAGCCAAAATTGCTTTCACAATAATGGTTACAGTAGGATATTTTAGAGTTCCATTGGAATTAAGTTGAAAAATTTTAGACCAACCTGTATCTATTCAATTAGTTGTGCATTCAAAATCATCTATTTTATCTAATTGAAGTAATTTCCATTCTACAGTTAACTTATCTATATCTACAGTAAGTGGTAAATATTCTATCAATTTTATAATATATCTTAAGCCCCAGGATTTTTTTAAACAATGGATTTCAACACATTCAAAATATTTTAAATAAGAACACTTCATTGCAGTTTTAACAATATGTTTGACAGCAACTACATAGAATCCTTTTATGCCATTAAAAAAATGCAGTTTTTCCAATTAATATTAATAAAAAACAAAGTTTATATGTCCGAGCGCTTTTTTGATAGAATATGTGAGAACCACACTGTATATGTAAGTTACATAATGTAACTGATTCAAATTTAAAGTTTTTGCTTTTTACATTCATTTTTAGTTATAGTATTTATCACATTTGATTTTCTTTTTTCTATTCTATTCCTTATTTTAATTACAGCCTCTCTTTGTGTCTTTTCTGTTTCTCTTAGTTTTACCAGACTCTTATTGAATTCGTTAGCAACCTCGATTTTTTGAACATCTTTAAATTTTGCTGCTTCTTTAATGTATTTGTCAACTTCCTGTTGCATCATTTCTGCTTTTTTTATTGTACTCATATGTTCTTTTTCAGCTTCTTTAAGTTTTTCCTCCATTGCATTAATGGCGTCTCGCTCTTTTAATGCATCTTCCATCCTTTCCTTTTTAAGTTTCTCCTGTTCCTGTTGTTCTTGTTCTTTTAAAAGATTTTGGCTTTTTATTTCCCTTTGCTCTTCTAAATATAAATTGTAGGAGTTATGCGCATTCTGAGCCAATTTGATTAGCTCCTTTGTAACTGTAAATTTATGAGCATTGCTATTATATAAGTATAATCCATCGATTATTGAAAGCTTTGCATTTAACATTTTTTCGGACATTCTGAACTTATCTTCAGTTAAAACGAGACCAGATCTTGAAAATCCACGCTCTACATCGGCATTTCCGTGACTTAAAGCCAAAATTGCTTTCACAATAATGGTTACAGTAGGATATTTTAGAGTTCCATTGGAATTAAGTTGAAAAATTTTAGACCAACCTGTATCTATTCAATTAGTTGTGCATTCAAAATCATCTATTTTATCTAATTGAAGTAATTTCCATTCTACAGTTAACTTATCTATATCTACAGTAAGTGGTAAATATTCTATCAATTTTATAATATATCTTAAGCCCCAGGATTTTTTTAAACAATGGATTTCAACACATTCAAAATATTTTAAATAAGAACACTTCATTGCAGTTTTAACAATATGTTTGACAGCAACTACATAGAATCCTTTTATGCCATTAAAAAAATGCAGTTTTTCCAATTCAGGGAACTTTATAATTTCCTTTTTTGCATTTTCGCCACAAAAAATATTTAAATTATTTAAAAGATTTGAAGAATTATTTAAAATTTCCTCGATCTTTTGAAATTCAAAAACCTTAATAGATGACAAGATCTCAGACTTTACCACATTTGACAACAGTATTGTGACGAGTTTTTTTAATTGTTGATACAGCAAATTAATCAATGGTTCTTTCTTTTGCACAAGCAGAGTAAATTCAGCGGTAAATATTTCTGATGCATATATTGCAAACATTAATGATGCCTTTAATGTTTTTTTTAGTAAGTATTCTTTTATCTCTTTATAAGTTTGCGACTTCTCGGAATTTTTATAATTTTTCGGAATATATTTAAAAAAATATTCTTCAATGGCATTGAATTGTTCTACAATTCTTTTGGCCGCCTGACCCAAAGTTAACCACCTTGTGTTAACATGTTTGATAAATCGGTGGTTTGGTAAATGCAGTTTTTGTTGAATTTTAGAAAAAGTCTCTGTCCTTACGTCACTTCTTTTAAAATAGTAATAAATTTTTATTATAAAATCTGAAATATCGATTTCTAAATTATCTATCCCTTTTGAAAAAGCATTATGAACGACAAGTATGGGACAACTTCCTATATCCATCAAGGGTTTACAATTCTTTATTTAACAACAACATTAAAAAAAAATAATAAAACAAATCCTGAACGTTGTTTTCCTTTTTATTGATACCCAGCATCATGTGTTTCATTAAATTTTTGTTTGAAACATCTTGCTTACAAAAAATATAGGCAATTAATAATACACTTAACAAATTAAAAATTGGCA